TCCTCCTCCTCCTGGCTCCTGATTCCTGGTGGCTACCCCCAAGGCCAGTCGGCCCTGAGAGGGGGGTTCTCACATTAGCGCCAGGTGACCCCTGGCGCACCGCTTCAGGGGCCACCAGCGACACACGTCTTAACGTGTGGCGGGAGGTAAGGGGTACCAGTAAACAGGCAGGAGGAGGAGGAGAGGAAAGAAGATGTTCCTTCTCCCCCGCCTCCTACCCCGCCTCCTCCTCCTCCTCCTCCTCCTCCTGCCCCTCGCCGCCCTTTACCCATTACTCCTCCTCTTCCTCCTTGAGCCCCCTTCTTTTCATGCACCTCCAATTTTGAGTCACCTCCTCTTTATTGCCCACCAGGACATGATGACTTGGCGTTTCCTGGGCGGGCCGCGCGTCTCGCTTGAGACGTCCTCGCCGCCCGCTGGAACGGAGAAAAGGGGGGATGGAGGAGGAAGGAGCAGGAACACGGGGAGAGGGGGGAAGCATGCGGTGGAGGCGCTGGGCCAAGGCAGGCGGCAACGAAGGAGACGCGCGCCGATCTGGGGGACACTGGGCGGAACACCGTCCTCCACCGCCAACGCCGCCGGGTGGTCCTGCGCAAGCCGCGCACGGCGCGGCGCGGGGAGGGGGGGGACGGGCAAACGGCGGCGGCCCAAATGCGGCAGGGGGGACGGGGCGAGGGGGGGAGGGCAGGAGTGAAAGGCGAGGGCGGGGGGCGACGGGGGCCACCGGGCGGGGAAGTGCCGAGGGTGGAGGGGGGCAAGGGGGGGGGAGGACTGAGGCCAAAGGCGCAGGGCGGAGGGAGGAAACGCGGAGGAAGGATGAGGATGAGGCCATTGGGGGTCGCGTGCCCGCCCACTCGACACGTGCAGCGCCGCTGGGTGGGACATGGGCGCAGGCCTCATCGTCATGGATTGGAGGAAGTCGCCTGGGGCGATTCGGACCGACGTTGCCTGGGCCGTGGTCCTCGAGCCCCGCCAGGCGGAAACCCTGCCTGGGAACGCACAGGACTCGCGCGTAAGAGGGGGCCTGTTACCTTCATTTGTGGGGGTGCAATGGGCCCCCCTGCGTGGCTGAGGGAAGGGAGGAAGAACGCCAGTGACTTTCGAAGGGCTTTCTCGCCGACGAGCCGCACAGACCGCGGGCGCCTGGTAGGTCACCCAAGTGGGCTAGCCTGTCGAAGCCGACTGGTAGCAGCTGCGCTGCTTCAGGTCGGTATTGGGCAACTCGTCGAAGGTCCACTTTTTGCACGAAGGGAATCCGAGGAAGAGGAGGAGGGGGGATGCGTAGCCATTTTGGCTCAAGGCCGTATGCGGGACTTCCACCACGGCACTCGCATCCAGAGCGTAGACCGGCTGATGCAGAGGACGAAGGGCGCAGGGTGGAGAGGAGGACGCGGAAGACGAACTGACCAAATGATGCGCCAACGCTGCGCCTGGGTACCTGTGGCTACCAAGAGACAAACCACATGCATACAACATTGATGAAAACGGGTCGCGCGTCCAGAACACGCCTGCATGGCCAGATCATACGCAGGGCACTGCGGGGATACCGTGGGTACCCGTCTACGTGCCCTCACTAATTTACATACGCGACGGTCGGAAACGCTCGCCGTAGGGCTCACGACGTGGAACAGCCCAGACGTCCGAAGGACACGACGACCCAACAAGGCGCCGCCTTCACCCACCCAGAGAGCTCTCGGCCAAGCGCAGACCGCGTGGCGTCTCGGAAAAAACCATATATATATGTATATATGTATATATATATATATATATATATATATATATATTCACACGTGAAAACAAAACGCACGCACACACACACACACACACACGCACTCACGCACACGCACACGCACACGCACACGCACGCACACGCACACGCACACGCACACGCACACGCACACGCACACGCACACGCACACGCACACGCACACGCACACGCACACGCACACGCACACGCACACGCACACGCACACGCACGCACACACACACACACAACAAACACTCTAAACTCCAACGACCACAGGGTGTATCTCAAGAGCCGGGGCGGGGGTCCCAGAGCCTGGGGGGCGAAGAGCTTATCATCACTGACGTAACGCCGGGAGCGGCCCAGGAGGTGCAGCGCCGCAGCGCGCGCGCGGCCGCTGACGGCAGGCTGGCGGGCGCAGGTGGCGGGTAGCCTTAGGCCGGGCCTGTCCCCCTACAGGGGGACTTTGGGCGAACAAGTATTCAACAAATACACCAAAAAACATAGAACTAACATTGTTCCCATACGATGTTTTGACTATTTTTGAATATCCCTCCTGTAGAGGGACCAGCCCGACTTAAGGGCAGCCTGGCGCTGCTCAACTTGAGGCCGAGAGGGGGCGCGGTGCAAGCCCCCTACCTCGCGAGAAGCTCGGCCGCCTCCTTCCCGAGCCAACCACCAGGAGGAGACCTGGAAGAAACGTGATTGGATGATCTCCCGCGCCGTATGGAACAATAGTGCCCCCCTGCCAGCAGT